CAAAATCACTTAATAAATTCTGCTTTGGTATTCTGCTATTGGCCTGCACAGAGGGTATTAGGATTATCAGTCCTGAGACACTCAGTGTGGTAGAAACATGCCTGAGGATTTTGTCCCTATATCCCAGAGACTAGCAGAGAAATCATTTCTCTTGGATCTCAGTCCTCTGAATGACTGTACTTTCTTGGTTCATTTTTATCTTATAGACCCCTTTCCTTTTCTTCTTTTTCTCTCACCAAATGGGCCATATCAGTGTTCTGTCGTATTTTCTCCTTTGGTCCAACTGTTACACGTTTTGTAAACCACATCAAATCCTTTGGGAATGGATATGTTCTTAGCTTTGCCAACTCCAAAGGAAGCAAAAGAACATGGTACCATTTCTTACCAGCCTCATTAAAGCATTTAAAGAAGATCCCTTTGGCATGAGCAAATATTGACTGCTACCAAATGAATGAATTTGGACAACACACTTAGTACAGTGCCTGGCACACACTGAACAGATCGGTAATGTCATTTGATTATCTGCCTACATGTAGAGCTCCTTCTGTCTCTCATCACTGATGCCCCAGTGCCAGGTCCATCCACCTGGCAAACAGTAGATAAGCAAGACCTGCCTATTGCTCCGTTAACTGCCTATTCAGAAGAGTGAATCCTGACACAGAATGGGTCCAACCGCAGTCAGGTATCAAACCCACCGCCCATCAATTATCTCAAATGTGCTGATAAAAGGGTTGCTAGTGATCACGGTAGAACCCCACACACTTCCTAAACTAATCACTATGTCACCACCGTCAGTGTCCTCCGTTCACAATGACAAATGTTCATGAGGACAAGGGATGTCATGGGGACCCAGATAAACTCAGCTTAGCATATCAGTACCTGACAAACTGGTAGTCCCGCATAAATTTCAACCTAGGCAATGATGCCAACACGCAGTGTCTCCTGGTCTGATGGGAGATAAAGCACTGACTGGCAGTCATCTTCTCCTTTTGTAAAGGCTGGAGAAAAACATTGGCTCATAATTACCAGCACCATTTTACTCAAAAATACTTTTCTTACTGATATTCCATTTAAGATGTAAAATCATGCCTCCTCAAAGAAGTGCATGATTTACTCTTACTAAGGAATGTCTGTACTTATTGAAGAAACAAATCAAATTTGTGAAAAAAAAAAAAAAAAAACCACCAGATTTCAGTTGAGCACAGGCAAGTAAAATGACAAGAGCCACATGCTACTATGGCCCAAACAAGATTTCAGTCAATAAGCATCCAACAGCCCAGAAAGAATTTGGGAATGTGAGGGGGCCTAGGGTGCTATAACTCCTTTAATTTCCTAAATAATCTCAAATGCCTAACATTTCTGGTCCCATTTGGACCAGCAAATGTCACAGCAGGCCTGCCCAAAGATGCAAGTATGTTTCCTGGGGAACAGTAAGTTAATATCACAGGTCGCAGTGTCAGACTGCTGGCCGTCAGCATTCACAGGATGGGAGCGTGTCCGTGATGCCGCTTCAGAGGAAAGGGGCTTCGCAGTGCAAACAAACTTAGCACTTGCAATACGCCAGCCACAGAGTTAGATACGTCATAGGTTTTACCTTATTTAATTCCCCTGCAAACCTTGATGTCAGTGCAGGCCTCCGCTGAGTAGGTAAGGAAATGGATTCAGAGAAATGGTTTCTTTTTCCAAGATTCTCACAGCTGGTAGAAGGGAGTAGGTGACAGAGGACTCGGGTTCCAAAGACCATGTCTAAGCTGTGGATTATATTGCCTTTCTGCACCCTAACACCTTCTAAAATTGCTTCTTGTTACTTAGCACAGGCTTCCTTTTTCTCATGCAGTAGTGAGTACTGAACTTAGGGCCAATCTACCACTGAGCCACCGCCAGGCCTCTTCGTATTTTTTGATTTTGAGACAGGGTCTTGCTAATCTGCCCAGGCAGGTCTTGAACTTGTTCTCCTGCTTCAGCCACCCAAGCTCTGGGACTACAGAAAGGCATCATGACACCCAGCAGCACAGGCTTCTTGAAACATTCCTGCTGCTCAGCGTGGGGGCGCACACCTGTAATCCCAGCAGCTGAGAGGGGGCAGGAGGACTGCCATGAGTTCGAGGCCAGCCTGGGCTACAAAGTGAGACCCTGTCTCAAAAAACAAAACAGAAGCCAAACAAACAACAAAACAAATTAAAATATACCTGCCTGCTGGCACATGAGCTTTAGACTAAAAATTACTCATTTTAATATCTAAATTGTCGCCAAATACGTGCTGGTAGATGAAGTGCTTTCAGTCATCTGGCTGATGAAGGGGAGAAGGCAACTCATTTATAGTCTGACATGTCAACCGGGACTTGATTCTTACCAAGGACTCTGAATTCCCTGTGCCTGATCTGAAAAATGGTGATTATGATAGTCTGTCTCAAAGAAGGTTTTTTTTTTAAATATAATTAAACGAGATTTCATGTGTATGTGTAAAGAAAATAGGAAGCACCTAACATCCCAATAGTAAGTGCTTAATAACTTTTACTATAAAGAAAATAAAAATAAAAATTCTAGGCCACATGTCTTCCACCACTCATAATCTTCTGTTTGGCTTTAGAGGGTCTTTGAATACACACTTATGCTTCTGGATTTGTCAGGAAGGTAGCAATCCGTGACCACCTTACACAATTCTCGATGATGATAAGGCATACGGAGCATGGAACAATGTGCAGCCTTGTATTTTAATTTTTTTTTTTTCTAATACTGAGTGGAACTCTAAAGCCTTTATTTTTGGGCATAGAAGGCAGAGTTCCAGGGATTTGCTGCCTCTGATGCATGCTGAAGAAAATCCTGTAGACTACAGCCACAGTGGTGAGGTTGTAAAAGGCCACCAATCTGAAGCAGTCACAAGGTAGACTTCTGGTCAGTAGGTGGAAGAATAGCCAGGGAAGGTGGGCTGAGGCAAATGACAGACTCTACTCTAAAAATCCCATTTCAGGTCCAAATGTGCCTTTCCAATTGTGCTTTTATTTTTTTCTCAATCCAAATCTGATGATTCACCCACATTAGCCTTCTGGCATGTCCTCTCTGGTACCTCAATCCATACGGAATCCTGCATCACCCTGTCCCTTCTTTGTCCCTCTCTCATTCGAAGTTCCAGGACCTACCTATCGTCTGCAGGGCCTAGGTCCACCTGTTCCATGGTCTTTGTCTAATACACAGAACTTATCATCAGCCACCAGCTGCAGGTCATCACTTGCTCCCAAAGATACTGTGAAATTTGAACCAAATTTTCCAAATTGTTGTTAACCTCTTTCTCCTTTCCTCTTCCATCCCCAGCTCAACTCAGCTCCACAGATGTGGTCAGTTTGAACTTACTGCTGAGAAGAGCAAACTTAATAGAGTAGGCCAGTGCTTCCCTTGTCCCCAGGAGGGCTTCTGCTCCTTCCAAGGCCAGTCTACAGGGATCCGCTCTGAGCAGTCATATTGGACACCAGTGAAGTTAGCTTCTGCAACGCCACCTATTTTGTTCTTATCCTTTTATTCCATACTCTGAAAATACCTGAGAAATAACACACTGAGCTTCGGTTTCCTTATGGCAAAATGGGAAATCAGTGTCTGTTATACACAATGGTTGAACACTAAAAGATAATGTACATAAAGAGACTTGTGGTTAAACACGGTTGTCAGCTGGATTAAAAGATACCTAGCAGATTCATAAAGCACTCTTCTGAGTGTGGCTGGGTGGGCCATGTCAGTATGACCTTGAGGACTGTATCTCTTTGCTGGCCCTTTCCTCTCTGGTGTGAGTAGTTTTGCTCCATCCAGCCCTTCCACCATGATTTTCTTGCCTTGGAGCCAGCTGGCCATGGACTGAACCCTCGGAAACTATAAGCCAAAGTAAATCTCCCCCTCCTTTAAGTTATGGGTGTCAGATATTTGGTCCTAGCAGTGGGAAAGCTGACCAATAGAGGGATGAATACAGAGGTTAGCATCAGAAAGGACATTTTGATGAAATCCATTATAGCTATTATGACTTAGTAGACCGTTGAATTGATAATGACAAAACATCCTATAGAAATTGGAGACAAAGTATGAGGAAACAAGGGGTAATGGCTAGAAGCTCATTGTAAGTCATACAGCCTGAGCCATAGTCTAAATCCTTTACACATTTTCTGTATTCCTGATCTTCCAAGTTTTGCTTTTTTATTTAAAAGGCATTGAGTTTACATTAAAATCATAGGCTAGATTCCATATTTCAAGAAACAACCTACCAAGACAATGCAGATAAATAGAAAATGTAGATGCATTTTATAAAAATGTAGGTGCATGTTTTTATAAATGGTCCAGCCTACTTATCTATTACCTAAGAAACTGTGTCAGGATATATTAACGTCTCAATTCAGTAATATAAAAAATCTGAATATGGCCCCCTAATATGAGAGCTTTTATCAATCTTTTTAAGGCATTTTCCCAAATTTTCTGTCACTGTCATCTGTCTATTCTTAATCCTGGGAAGCTACATTGAATCTTGCTGACAAGGTCTCTATAAAAACCATCCGGCATAAATTTCCTATGATTCAGCCTTTTGGTTTGATTTAAAACACATAATGAAATGTTTGATAGCAATTATAGGAGACAGTTAATTCATTAGAAACAATTACTCATCAGGTTCACTTGTATTACTATGGAGAATGGAAAGAAGAGAAAAATCTCACAAAGCACAGGAAAGTAGGAAAGAGGCATTTGGCACATGAACGCATGCTCTATTCTCAGGACTTTGTATAAAATATTAATAAGGGTTGTTGTCCGAACATTCACATCGGGCAGCATGCACTTCCTCATCCAGTAATTATATAACAGAATGCAAGAAGTTTCTCATTAGTAAGTGAACATTCACTTTTGGCTTGGGATGAAAGCCTCTTGTAGAAGATGGCCAGATTTATTTGGCTTTGTTCAAACTCAAAGTCCTACTAAAGTGGGCTTTGGTCAAGTGGTCTTCCTTAAACTCCTCACTTTCGTTCCAGGTCCCGTTTGTGCAAATTAAAATTCTCTGTAGTGTACTTGCCTGGACCCTGCATAACCCTGCACACACTGAGCAGAATATGGATGCAAATTATGAATATATTTATGAAGAATATGGTAAATATTAAAGTATGAGGTAAGTTGTCACTTCCCAAAGCAAAGATCTTAAATTACTATTTCTCTTAGCCATGTAATCTCAGGAAATGTTGACTTTTTCAATCTAGAGATTAAAACTTTCATTTTTGTAGATAGAAAACAAAATACAGGACATAAAATTATTATAGCATAAAATAATAGTCATTGATGATGGCAGTCAATTAAATTTGGGTCCTTGAGTAAATTTCTAATTAACTACCATTAACAATTGTTTTGGTTTTGCCCCGTTAATTTTACATACCCCACTGCTGCACAAAACTACGGCTCTTCCAAATCATCTATGCCCGACACATCCCTAATGATTATGGGCTTTTCTTGCCAATTTGTGGATGCAAACAATAGAGACGCAATTAGACAAGCCCCTCTCAGAGTTCCTAGAGGCCTCCGCCTTGCCTAGCTTTTGTAGGCCGCCCCTCCTCCCACAGGAGCAAAGGGCAAACTGCACTTAGTGCTAAGTGCCCACCCCTCTTGGGACACCCCTGTAGGACTCTACTTCTGGGGCAAACCAAGAGAGCTTCAGAAATGCGACATCAGATTGTCATCCAGAATGGCAGGGGATACTATTTTCCATTTCACTTCCCAAGTATGGAATTATTTTAGACTCCAAATCTGACCTACTTTAGAGTTTTGAAAAGCCCTCTTTGAGGGTCGATGTTTATTTAGTGGGGTTTTATTAGAAAACCAACTATTTTGGCAAAGAAAGTAATGAAGATCGCTGTATGCCCCTCAACCTCCCAGGGGTTGAGAATCCAACACTGTTTTTCACATCCTGAAGGGGCTCATTGGCAAAAGACCAAACAAAGCAAGCAAAGTTTTTGAGCCAACTGGGCAGAGGGCAGAGCCCTTAATGGACACAGGCTGACAGTGTGTCTAGGTCGGCACTGAAGAAAACAACGGGTTGATACCAATGATGGGAAGGGCTGATGCATTTTTTTTTTTCTTTATCCTTTTTTCTCCCCCCTGGTGCTGGGTACAGAAGGAACCCAGGGCCTCACACATGCTAGACAACTGCTGTACCACTGAGTTACACCCCCAGCCCTGCATTTTTATCTCACTTGGTAATTCTTAGCATTATAATTACTAAGTCAATTCTATATCACAGAGCATTGCATGTAAGGTTTTTCTTATAAGTATTCTACTTTCATAAATTCAAGTGTTCGTTAATTTGGCATTAAACGCCCAAAATTAATGGTCGAACCATTCTATAAATTCTAAAAAGCAGAAGAGAAATGTCAGTATACAACAACTGGGAAACTATTTCAAGTTTTTTTAAAAAAAGACAAAATGTAATTCAAGTGATTTCCTCACTTAACTCTTTCATAGCTGTGATTTAGAGGAAAGGGGGAGCCTGGAAGTAGCCATTTACAGAAGGGGAAATGGAAGTCCAGATTAAATAACTGGACAAGGTCACAGAGAAGTCAGGGCCATGCCAAGAATAGAACCTATTTCCTTGATTCCCAGGTCTCTACCCCTGAGCCTGCATAATAGGCATTATGCAGGTACATATATTACTCCAATAATCAATCACCAAATAGGTGCGATTAAAAATGTAATTAAAACTCAAGCTAGCAACACATGATGTTTGTCTTTATGTTTTACACATGGTTGGTACATAATAAATATTTATGTGATGGGAAAATGGTTGGCATTACACATTTGGATTGACCACTGCCAATGTGAAAAATTGGCTTATATGAAGTGAGCAATATTAATGCACTGAAAGTAGCACAGATTTCTCCCTAAAAATTTTTATTGGCCATCACAGCTGATAAAAAATTAAAGTTTTCACAATGCTACCTAGTATGTTTTTCCCTGAGAAGAGTCTTAGTATGTTTTGCAACTGCATTATAATTGATCAGTGCTGTGAAATTATGGTATGCGACAGTTTGGAAGGGAAGAAAGAATTAAAGGATCTGTGCCTGCTCTCAAAACAAAACTACCGTCACTGAAGGTTGAAGTCACCGAACTTTCCAATACTGAAGATCAACACACTCAGCATCTGAAAAATAACCCTAAGTTTAAAAACAGGAAAGAAACAACCAGGTAGCTCTGGACGCTCCTGGAAGAGGTGCCCTGAGCTAATCCCGAGTGCCAGCAAGGATATCCCATCCAAAGCCCACTCTAGTGTCTGTGAGCTTAAAGGCCAGTTCAGGCATAACGGGCTCCAGTCAGTCACATGGGCGTCTCTTTGGCACTCAAACACACAAAAATAGAAGCAATCTTTCAATATCTTAGATTCTCCCTGAGAAAACTGAACTGATAACCCAAAGCACAAACAAATGACGCCTAGACTGTCCATTCTCCATTCTCCTTTGAGAGCCTCAAATGCCTAAGGAGAGACCTCTTCCCTGTGTAGTCACTTGTTCCTTCAAAGGCCAACCTCCCTGCCCTGGTCAATCTTATCTACACAATCCCTCCAGTGCTGTAGCCAAGATCATCTGTGAGATCAAGAGTAGCTCGTGGCTCTGGAGAACTGGTAGTCCTGTTTCGTTATTCAAAATGCAGGGGCAACATGAAGTCCCACAAATAGAGTGTGGACTGGTCAAGCTCAAGACAGCTGTCCCACATACCACTCTGCCCCACCCAGCCTTAACCAACCGCAGGGCACAGCCACTTCCTCCCATGGCTGGAAACATGAATGGAGGGGCCATGTGACCTGCGAGACTTATGTCATTCTCCCATTGCACCCTTCTACTTATTCTTTTATTTTTTGCCTAACTCTTCTGTAGTTCCTTAATTTTTTTCCTTCTCCTGAAAAAACCCTAAGTTACATCTTCCTCAATTCTACAAGGTTTTCCCCTCAGACCTACCGGATTTCTATCTTTTTTTTTCAGATTTCTATTTTTAAAGAAGAGCAACATTTTGCTTTGCACAATTTCTCTTCATTTCTCAGAAATATTTGGTATGATTTATATTGCTGTGAAACTAGTTCTGTAAAGAAATTTCAAGTTCCTTAGACATTCTTGGGTCTCACTTGAAATGTACACCCCTCAATCAATAATTTCAACTTTGTATTTCTATAGCACTGTGTGCTTTCTCAGATATACTACCTCATTTACTCCTCATCTGTCTATAAAGTGTATTTAATTATCTTCTTGCTCTATGATCAGAACCTGTAAACTACAGATATATGAAAGGTACTAGAAGCTTAACAGCCCTATGGCTACTTCCTGGGTTTGTGCCATGCGAAACAGAGCAAGTTTACCAGTATCTATCTAGAACTCTCTACAAGAAAAATCCAAAACTTCCTCCTCATTCCATGTTGATAATTTTATATTATTAAACACTGAAAAGAAATATCCTACTTGTCTTACCACCTTACCACCCAAATATGCAGAAAAGTAAAAGGGAGAAATTCTACTTTATTTAGTTTTGGTTTATTAGCAATATAAATTTAAATAACCATCCTTTTCCCTCTTATTGCTAATGTTTCTTTAAAAAAATGAACTGTCCATACCAATGGAGTACCATGGGATATTTCAATATGTATATATATTGTGTAACATTTAAATCTGCTTAAACATATCTATCTGCTCAAATATTTATCATTTCTTATGGTGAAAACATTCAATAGCCTTTCTTGTAGCTTTTTGAGATATACAGTACATAATTATAATCTTTAGTTACTTTACTATGCAATATCACAGCAGGACTTCTTACAATGTTTCATAAGAACAAATTATAGACAGAAAAAAACCCATAACATTACTCAGTTAAAATATGGCTTATTTGCATAAGACATTTCACCACTTAAGGAGGAAGTTTCTAGCTGACTAGTCATTCCGATGGTTTTTAAATATACTTACATATTTATTGTATTGTAGGAGATGACACAGTTGAAGTCAGAACTTCTTCTTATACTAACTTAGATACATAAACTAGCTGACCATATTAAACCAGTTGCTAATTTTGGGTTACTTACACAGGCTAGCCTCAAAACTAAACTAATTACATGGCGTTGCCATGTATAGATGTGCCCTTTGACTACAGCCTCAGATTCAAACACTAAAAATTATTCTATATTTTGAAGGGTAATATATATGTATTAGTTTTCCAGGTCATTTAGAAGACCATGTATTGGTCCACTATTCAAGTGCTACTGTGTAGCTCAAAATAAGTATAATGGGACATTCATTATTCATATGCTGCTAATGAAAAATCCCATCTACAAATGAATATGTTCGTCTAACCATATAAAAATAATTTATATAAAAACATTTGGAAAATTGGTAATTAAAGTAGGCTTCAATTATTTGTAAATTTTGGCTTTTATCTCTCTGACAGGGTGAACCAGAGTTGTTCTTAGTATCCACATAAACAAAATTCTGATATGTATTTCAGAATACTTCCAATTTGAGTGTGCTGATTTAACCCCCAGAAGTCAAATCTGGGCCTGCCACAGGTAGGCTACTGGATCAGATCATTTTTTGGCAGGTAATTTCAAGCAACAACACTGAAATGAACCTGCATAGAAATAGTGTAAGCTTTCATTTCTCAGCTGTCTTAGGGGAAGTAAATAATGAATGGCCTTAACAGAATAATTCAAATGGTCAACAGAATCTTGAGGAAATTCCAAAAGGAATAAGACGTATTTCAGGGTCATGGTGAGTATACTCCATAAAATGAAAGATCCCACATATTACAAAGAAATTGAAAAGGTAGCTAATATTTACAGTTTCGTTTTAGCTTGCCTTAATCCCCAAATCTTATTTTATTCAATCATTCAACCTCAAATTTATAATGTTGTGTTTTATCGCTCAATTGTTTTTTAATATAGTTACTACTGAAATTTAGTAAGGATCAAACTGAAATTTTAGATTCATTATTATCAAAATAATATTTTAAAATATCTTTAAAAGGTTATGTTATTCCATAAAAATTCAAGACTTTTATCCTAACCTAATAGCTTTAACTAGTTATTTTTGTTTGCATGTTAGCACACATATGAATTCCTACCTGAAATTAGAAAAAGAGTACACAATCTCAGTAGCTCTCACTATGTTTTGGGTGAAATTTCCACAACGGTAAAGAAGATATCCACGATTTACAAGTTCTCTATATTTCTGTTCTTAGAAAAAGACATTCGAATGACAAGTCAGACGTGTGGAAATAGCTACTTCTTAGGAATTCCGCAACTTACCAGTAACTTTCCACCCTCAGTGCACTACACCCTAAGCAAGGATTAAGACACAGACGAAGAGCTGAAGTAGAGGGAAGAATTTAGAAGACCAAATAGGCACTTCTGTTTATGCTAGCATTGTATCTTATTTATTTTTTTAAAAAAATCAGACTAGTTTTTTTTTTTTTTAAATAGCCATCCTTTCAAACACCCTGAAAGTTAAAAGCAATAAAAGAAACATTTTTCCATAATGATGATTCTTAGACAGTTTCAGTCATAACTTATTGGTGTATCTATTGATTCTATTCCTTTTCTGCAAACCAGCTCTCCTGAACTACCATTGGTACCAGCCCTCTAGACTAAACAAAAGGGAAAAAGCAAACAGCATTCAGTCACCAAGACATGCAAGGAAATGCTATGTACGCACAGAGGGTAGGGAAGCATTCACTCAGCAGATACACATTGAACATCCACTGCGTTCCCGATTCTGCCCAGCCCTGAATATACAGAGCAGTAAGCTCACAGATGACACACAAATGAGCACACGTAACAGTGGTTAAGCAGCACAGGTTTCACAGTGGGAGGAAGAACTCAGCCTGCGGCGTGAGTTTGACAAAGGAGGACATCTTACGAGGCAGACAGTGGGTGGAGTGCCCATTTCAGATGGATGCGAAAGCACAAGCAAAGCCTCCAAGATGAAACATAGAGATTGTGAGGAAGATCTTGGATCACCCCGTGGAAAATGCGAAGACCTGTGTGACTAACAAAGTGGTGCAGCTAAAGTCTGAAGACCCTCAACTGGGCACCAAGCACTGCGGTCTCAGCCTGAGCAAGGAAGAGCTCACAGGTTACCTCAGTTCCGTCTCTGCGTCCCCAAAACGGCACGCTAGAAAGGAAAATGATGCACACTAGCCAGTGGAGGGAATCATCCAACAGGACTGCTTGCCTGTTTCCAAAGTAGGCAGTCTCTGCCCCGAGGACACTGCATGTTCTATCTGCAAACTCTCACCTGGGTCTGTTACAGAATCTTAATTCAAGGCAGCAAAAAATAGCTGAAAGTTACTCAGAAAACGAACTCCCCCCTACCTTGCTCTGGAGTAGGTGCAAGGACGCCAGGACCACTGCACTGTGGGTTGGGGGATTCCATAGACGGTGCAGGTCAGGATCTGCCTGCTGCCCAGTGGGTAGACAGTAGGTTCTGGAAACGGTGACACAGCTTTTTCGTAAATCTCGGGTTTCACTGGAAAGAGACAAAGAACAGGAAGAAAGTCAGAGCTGTTCTTTTCCCTTAGGCCTCACCCAGAGGACCACAGTCTCACTGGTGTTAGTATCAGGGAAACAAAAGCACCAATAAACCTTGTTCATCAAGAAAATGCCTATTTTTAAAAACTAGAAGTACACTGATGACATTAATAGTTTGAGTCCACGGTATTACACCATGGTTTCAATAACAACCACGCTGGCCGTGAAGACAAGCAAAGGTGAAATTATTACGATGGTAACAGAAGTGGTTTTTTAAAAGAATTATTTAAAATTTTTGTTTTCTTTGACACTGTTACACTGACTTTCGTGGGTCTTTTTCGGGCAATGCTGAGGATCAACCCAGGGCTTCAGGCATACTGGGCAAGTTTCTACCACTGAGCTGCATCCCCAAACCCTTACCGTGGCTCTTGAATTGACAAATTTTTGTTCATTTCCCCCTTACTAGAACCCAAAGAATGTATGAACTATAAACTTACCATTTACAGTGAGAGTGGTGGTGAGGTTCTTAACCACATTTGACTGCTTTATTCTCAGCAGGATCGTGTAATTCCCTGCATCTTCTGCAGTTACGTCTTTGATAATTAATGAATAGCCACGAGCCGAATAGCGACTGGATTTCTTTGCTGTAGGTAGCCCATCTTTCAGCCTGTTGTTAAAACATGATCAGTGAGTCGATGCCCGTGCTTCTCCAGTATCACAGCAGGTCAGTTCGTGAGCTTGTAAATCAATTCTGACCCTTTGATAATCAGTGCTGAAGTTTTACAAAATGTGAGCACCAACATTTCAGTCAAAGCAGATACGGTTTGCAGACTGGTTACTGCTTCGTATTTATTGGCAAAGAAGAAGCACACCAAGAGAAGAAAGAAAAGTGGTGACTTCATGGACCAAGGGGATGCCAGGGGCTACTGTGACAACTGCAAACTCAGAGGGACAGGCTTTAATTCCATCGAGATACTTTTCAGTTTCCCATGAGGTTCCACAAGCAATTTAAGAGCCATTGTAAGTCACATCAACTAGATCTCCTCTCCAGATAAAAATAAAAATAGACGCGCCTATTGTGGTCTCATGTGGAGTTCTTATTAATTGTATAAATGGTCACACCAGTTGTCCCTTTCATCGCAAAACTGTAGTGAAATCAAGATATTTTCCCTGCGGGAGAACTGCTAAGGTACAAAACAAACCACAAACTTAAAATAATGTTTACAAAACTTAAATATGGAATCAATGCCTTGATATCATCAAGCTGCACACAACAGTGAGAGTCTGGAAGCTGGGATGTTGGGCTGGCTTCTCCAGTAAGTGCTGCTACGGGCGTGGCTGGCCAGTTGGAGCCTTAGAGACCTCAGCTTCTCAGTGATCCCTTTTGACTCCAAAAATCCCATGGTTTTATTTTAGTGCACAGTTTTTTAAATGGGCAGTTTTGATCAGGTAAGAGTTTACTGTGTTCTCTGCCCAGGTAACGTAATGGAAATGGCACAGTTCGTAATCATGCCTGTACTACACAGCCCTGCAAATAAATTCCCATTACTCTTGAGTCTCAATTCCAAAGCAGTTAAAATGATGATCTATTCTGTGATTATAAGTATCATGTTAGTGTTAAATTACTTCCTGTTAACAGGGCAGCATTTTTGAAAGTGGGTGGAATATTTTCAAGTAGCCCTAGCTACTTCATTATTGAAGAAATCAGCATTAACAGAAGAGAGTACACTCATACCAAAAGGGTGAATGTACTTTCTGGCCATTAAATTGCTATTGAATTTTTTTGTCTTTTTGAGACAGGGTCTCGCTATTCAGTTCAGGCTGGCCTTGAGCTCTCTTTGTAGCCCAGGCTGGTCTTGAACTCACAAAGATCCTCCTGCCTCAGCCTCCTGAGTGCTGGGATTCTAGGTGTGCACCACCACACCTGGCCTAATATTGAGTATAATAATTTACTGCTAACCTTTTCAGATATTACAAAAGAAAAAAGTCCCTTTTCCATTACTATGGCATGAAGGTATAATGCAGAGTTTAATTTTTCTCTTCAGTTTCCTATAAGGTATTTGAGAAAAAGAGAAGAAAACACCCCAGTAATATGATAGTGAAGATCAAATAAGCGCTGGCTGAAGAGATTCCAAAAAGGCCCCACTCGGGCATTCTCTGGATTGTTTTCCTAATCAGTGGTTTTTTGTTTTTTGGGTTTTTTTTTGCCATATATCCTTTGTTTAAATGTAATGACTTACGCCAAAGATATTGATATTTAAAAGTAATTTAACAAAATGACTTCAGATGGTAAACAGATTACATTGTTTGAGATCAGATGTTGTTGTACTGATTTTTTTTTTAAATAGCTTAAGGAGTTTCTGAATATGCAACCTTCAAGCCAAAAAAACCATAATTAATTCAAAGAGGTCCACTTGTCCACCCCCACACATGAATAAGTTTTGTCTCTATTAATGTTTAATTTTAAAACAAGACTGGAACTTTCAACACAGCTGTATATAAAAGAATTATTTTTAGCATCCTCATTACAAGGGACCACTTCTTCTGAGTTAATAGAGCATGTTACACATTCGAGATGCTTCCTAGTTATTGCCCCACACGTTCCATTCAAAGAACGTTGACATCATAGGAAGGTCTGGAGATGCAGAACCTCAGTGCCGGCGAGGGACTGACTAAACTGAAATAAGCACTTATGAAAAAATATAAGGAAAAGAACCCGCAGCTCGTCTCATCCTGATGCGTTATTTCCCTTCCCCACCTGGCTGCCACCATCAGGAAATTATCACAGCCTAGCTGTCCAGTGCTGCCCAAGCAACTTCTCGCGATAGTTTTCTTAGGAATGTAAGCCATTGTTTTTTGTATCCTTGTATGAATGTAAGTCATAGGCTTTTGTATCTTCTACTTATAAAATATATTTTAAACAGCTTGGAAAATGACTGGGGTCCTACCATGTAACTTCTGGCCGAGGGAAGGCCTTCACTCTCATGGACAGCTGGTAGGACGGTTTGCCGGCTGTGGTCTCGTACACGTGCCTTTTCCGATGTTTCACAGTGATGAATGCCTTGTCTTTCAAAGGAGAAGCGATAAGAACGTTAAGAATAGAATATATAAACAAAACCTCACTGCCTCATTAAGGGAGGGCGCAATCAGTGATTAAATAGTCCGGAGTTACTGATGGAGCCTATCACTGGGCCTAAATGTTGATCAATGAATAAAATACTTTCAAAGCACCTTAAATGGGGAAATACTTTCAAATCAAATGGTAGCAAGTCCTGAGGACATAAAACATGGCAGGCCAATAGAGAACATCTGAAATAAACAGTTCACAACAATAAAAACTGGGGAATAGGTTTCTAAAAATCTACCTGGCCAAGAAGAGCGAGATGAGAGAAAGTCACTATGGACTCAAGTAATTTGATATCACAAATAATCTACAGACAGCCAAAAGGAAATAAAAGGCTTTTGAAGAACAGCCCCTTGGTTTTTGTTCTTCATACTGTTTTCTTTTTCAACAATGGATATAAATAAAGTTTTTTAGCATTTTGTTTATATAATTTGCATATTGGAATTAAGCAGCAATATAGGATTCCATGATAATAAAACCAGGGATAAAATAATATTAGTAATATTATTCTTAATTCTAAAATTAGTAATTCTAAAGAATTTATCATACCATATTTATATTTCTTTACGGTACTACTTGAAAAAAACTTTCTCAGGTGGTAAAGGTAAAATATCATCATTTTTTCTTGTGTTTATATGGAAAACGTAAGTGAAGAATTTCATAAACATGATCTCAGTTATTAAGCATAAGCTTCGGAAGAAATACTGTCCAAAAGCGTTAAAAGATCACTAAGTGTCATTACATTTCTCACAGTGGGGAGGAGAGAGCTACGGCAAAGTTGTATTCATAAATGACGGTGTAACTACTGACCGGAAGGTTGACTATTATTAGAACCCGAAGTCTGTAATGGCTACAAAACACGGCATGGTTAGCAACACTGAAGTATCACTTACCATACACACTCACGGAGGTGTTGGCAGATTTGAATGACGGTCCACTCTTCACCTCACAAGTATAAAGTCCCCTGTCATTTTCCTCAACTTTGTCAATAGTAAGAATACTGTAGAACACGTTGACATCGGGATCGCTTTTGTCAATGCGTTGCCTTATAGAAGCTCTTCCAGTTGCCTAGAAAGAAACATGCACGACAAATGTAGTAGAAGTAATTGTTCTTCAAGTTCGAGCATTTTAGTATTTCTCAGGTCATTATTTTAACAGCTGCTTCTTTTTTTAATTTTTTTTTTTTTTTTTTAATGCTAAGAAGCATATCAAACCTACCTAGAAATATTTGGAAACTACATCTTTGTCCAGAGGTACTTCAGCTTTGTAGCAAAATAGCGTTTATTTGGCACTTTATTTCTTCTGATGGATGTACATTATCTGGATTGTTTTTTCACAACCACTTAGGGAAACTGGCAGGATTACTGCTCTTTGGGCAATGAAGAACTAAAGGGACACAGACATTGGCCTAAGTAGTCCAGGAACCCAGGTATTCTGAATATGAATCTAGCGTTCTTCCTCCAGTATACCTACCTCGCTAAAGAGTAGCCTGCTCTCTAGCCATAGATATCATATCCAAACATGCAAGGTAATTGTTTTAGCGTCTGGCTTAATGACAGTGTTTCTCTTGCTAAATCACCATGAGAATTTCCTTTGCTGCTGCTGTAAGTAAAAAGGTGACTCCTGACCAGGCAGACTAACATGGAATACTCCTCATTCCATCACTTCACTATGTGAGCAATTCTTGACAACCTCTGCCAAGTTCTAATACATGGAACTGGGTATGCACACTCATGGGCCGGTGTAGTCCTTATCTGGGGGTTTGTGTCCAGTCTTTATCCAGGAAAGACCTAGGGAAAGCTCAATGCTCAGAAACCTGAACTGGGCCCAGGGACCCATTCCCATTTTCAAAAGGCGCAATGGCATTGCCTTCTCCTTAACTGCCCATTTTATAACACATAATGTGTCACTTCCTCCTTGCAGTGTTTTCCCATGGACTTGATAGTGGGTCACGCAAACAAGACTTTGGAAGCTGCCTGGACTTCTCTTTGGATTTTGAAGTTAGGTCTTCCATTTGCCAGGTTTAATAAACTTCACCCACCTATGTTTTTAATTCCTTGGTGGCACGGGCTATGTGTAAGGCCCTTTTCTTCAGTCTCAGCAGTGACCAGAGAGAAAAGTCAGCCACTGCCATTAAAAATCATTGAATTAGTTTCCTAACATGGCAGGCTGAGGCCTTCTGCAACTCTGTGTGGGTGTTACTTCTCCCTTTGTGAATGTTTTCTTCCCGAGTTTGAGTAACACTGGTACTGTTTCTGCCTTGGAAAACAATTTATCTTGTGTTTTACGGTTGCTTTGTCCAATTTAAATTAACATCAACCAAAACTTAAAATTCATTTCCTCAGTCAAGCTAGCCGTATTTCAAAGACTCATTTTCCATATGTGGCTAATGGTTATTTTATTGGCCGGCACAGGTACAAAATGTTTCCATTACAAAATATTCTATTGGACAGTAACATTTTAGGAAATTACCGGCATTCAGTAGACATGCTACAAATACCCTTATTCATAGCAACATTATTAACAGGACAAAAGTGTCTTCCCTTTTGGTATGTACTGCGAATATCTGATTTCTATCACAACCCAAGAAATACTACAATGAGTCGCAGCATTTTTATTTAAATGAAACAATACCATTTCCTAGAAAACAGCTTACAACTGATAGGTCCCTGTATCCCTCCTTGCAGGGTACTTTTTACATCTTTCTGTTGCTAAGTTATTCTGTTGCCTTGGCAAGAAATGTCAATAACGATACCTTGGGACTGATGTATTAATCTTTTGTGCTTTATTTATTATACATTAACTTGGTAATTGGGCAATCGCTATGACGTATCAAATGACTGTATTTGGAATATGCCACAGAAGTCAAAGTGACACTCAAGAAATAGGGATTATCTACTGTCAGAATTTTCTTGACAGTTTATCATAGTTTTCCCATCTATGCATTTTATTTTATTTCATTTTATTTTATTTTATTTTATTTTATTTTGCAGTACCAGGGATCGAACTCATGACCTTGTGCTTGCCAAGCAAGCGCTTGTCCTGCTGAGCTATATCCCTGGCCCTCCCCCATCTATACATTTTTAAAAAAGAATTGTTGTTTGTGAAGATATTGTATTTGAATAAGAACCTGATCAGTCTTCATTCTTCTCATTTTTCTGAAGGACAGAATCACGCCTTTGACATTTGACAGACAGAATACTGGATAGCCGGGCTGCGGTATCTTTTCCAAACATGCCCTAATCAGGAGCCTGACTGTCTCCTAGTACCTTAAATGAATGCGCCGGCAAAGACATCTTCCTGGAAAGTTGTTGTTATTACACGAGACGGTCTCTGCCTGGCATGTAGTGATACATTGCTCTCTCATCTCTAAATCCTAGAGCAGTGTTTCCAGAGATGAAACAATCCCTCTTCCCACCCAGAATCATGCAACAGAAGTAGCCGCCTGTACACTTCAAAACAAAACACGCAGACATCAAAAGACAGTACCTATGCCTGTCACATTCATGAAATGCCAGACAAAGAAAGCGCCCTATCCAAACCTGAAGCTTCCTTATTGATAAGCACTGCCACAGGAGCCAGAACTTTTCTGGGTTTTCTCCATCTCAAAAACCCAGTAGGGTTTCATTTGTTAAGCCTAAATAGCATTCTGTCAAACAAGTAGAAAAATGGGTTACTCACTTTACCAGGGTAATTCCAGGTCATCTCAACTCTCACGTTCAAGGCAGTCGTAGCCTTACAGTTGAGAGTAAGAGTCTGACCGCTGAGTAGTTTCACTTGGTTTGCTGGGGTTATTTCAACATGTATGATTGTATGGCCTACAAGTGTAAGAGAGAAAACATTTTATGCACCACAGATTCATCGGAGACAAGCCGTGGAGAATTGTGACTCAAGCTCATGCCTTTGGACCGTCACTTACTTTGCCGAAATGTGAGATAGCTTGTAGAATAATGATGATTGTTGATTGTTGTTTCACAGGTCAGAAGCCCTATTTCTCTGTATGTTGCATTTGATATTATGAAACCCTTCCTACTGTCCCAAATTATTCTTTTTCCATCAGGGACCAGCGTTGTATCTAGAAACTGAAAAGGAAGAGACACGCTTTATCAAAATCGTATTAGTGCTACAGCAATGCTGCCTCACTGGTCATTCACGCAAACATGATTTTCATTTTAATAGTATAGGTGAAAACTCGAGTCTTTGTCAGTGGCTCTTTAGTTTTCTTTGCATATAACAAGATATATTTTATATGATACATTACAATCATTATGGGAGCTTATCATCAGCCTTGGCAGTAAGCTGCACTCATCCAGGACTGAACTAGCTATCATGTCAGACTTCTCCTGGGAGCTTGCCACTCCTTGGCATCTGGGAATCTTCATGGTAAACTGGCCTGGTACTCTGTAGGAAAATAAGTTGGCAAGTTCCTCACTGGGGCTACCAGGCCATCCTCCTCTGTCTTCATCATCTAGAGCTTTTCATAACCCATCGCCTGTCTTCCTATTTTGCATGGCTTACTATTTTGCATGGCATTGTCTATAGTAACTTGTGGATCCTCCACAATTCCTAACATGAGCATGGCATTTGCTGGGGCTCCTCATTCTGAGAATCCTGGGGATCAGTTCTGCCACAGGGATCGGTTCTGCCTTGGGGAAGGGAAGCTCTGGCAGTAAAGCTCAAAGACCAAGATACTACTGTGAAAAAAACAAGCACAGTGACTGCACACTGAAGTAAGGAATGCATGAGTTACTTTTCTCTTTATACCTTCTTCCAACATCCAGGACTTTTCTTCTAGTTGTGCGAAGGATGGAATTCAGCTCTCACACTTCCTAGGCAAGCGCTCTACCACTGAGCTATACTCCCAGCGCCCAGGACTTAAGTTTTAAAAATTACAGTGTAAACACTCCACCTTGAGCTTTAACTTTATCAAGGGTCATTGCTCCATGACGGGCCAAGCTGAATTCCCCAGATGCCAGCTTGCCAGTCCATTTTTAGAGACAGACTCTCATTACCACTCTTACTTATTCTCCAGAAGAACAGAAAAGTAAAATAGATTACCTTTGCCCAACAGATTATAAAGGAAATGCCCAACATCCTTTAAGATGTGTCAGATCCTTTTGAAGAGTACACCTGCATCTCTCTCTCTTCACTTATTTATTCATAAATGAAGTTGTCCAGCTACATTTGTAACCCTGTGGCAGAAACTTCCAGTCTAAAGGTCATTAAGGGCTCTCTTCTGGTAAGTACGCCTGTGCTGGTACGTGTCACCACTGCTGCCTAGGTTTAGGCTGGATATATCCTGTTTATCCAGAACCAAAAGCAAATGAAGGCATCCTTTCATGTTTCAGTAAACCAGCATCCTACCTGTTAGCATCGGAATGCTTGCACTCAATGGGAGAAAAGAACCTTCTTTTCTAATTGGGCACAAACAGTTAAGGGGAAAACTTGGAAAAATATAAGTCAGGAACCAAAACGTACAATGCTTTAAAAGTCAGCAAAAATAGGCATGTGCCAAACCTAAAAAAATGCTTGCTGACACATTTCCTCAGCACAACTTAAAATCATGAACATTTCCTTCAAAGTGTTTTTAACTCCAATCCATCCACTACCTCACTAGTGCTGCTCCACTGACAAAGTGACTGTTTTTAGGGGATTTAGCTCAGGGGCAAAGTGCCTGCCTGGCAAGCGCAAGGTCATGAGTTCAGTTCCCGGTACCAGAGAAAAGCCAAAAAAAAAAAAAGTGACTATTTTTAGCTGACAGGCACAAAACTATAATTAGCTATGGCCACTGCTGTGTGTGTCATAGAGGCAGGGAGACTGACCCTCAAGACAAGGTTCCCGGCAGGGAGGGCCATCTCTAGCTGACCATGGTTCCACCAGAGCAAGCGTGGGGAAAGGAGAGGGACGGACGGGACAGTGGATCAGAAGAAAAGGACGATACAAAAAATGGAAAGAAAAGATGTTAACTTCATGTCAGCACAAACAATAGGTTAGGATATTTGCAGTATCTATACATGTCAAAACCAAACTTGCTGTTAGGATTTTACCCTTTGCTTGTCCTTATTATAAAAAATCGTGCATTGTAGCTGTTACGCAGTAAAAGAGAGTCAGTGGCTTCACCGTGCTGCAGTTGTTGAATGTTCCTGTGCCAGAAAGCCCGCCGGCAGGAGGCCTTGCATGAGTTTTCCTGTCTCTGTGGTTTTCCATGTTAATCAGGTAGCGATTTTTTTTTTTTTTTTTTTTTTTTTTTTTTTTTTTTTTTTTTTTGGTTTTTCTCCGGTACCGGGAACCGAACTCACGACCTTGCGCTTGCCAGGCAAGCGCTTTTGCCGCTGAGCTAAATCCCCAGCCCCTCAGGTAGCAATTATTATCTCCAACTAAGAGGAGTCAACACCACGGAGCTGAAAATATGACTTGCTAGCAAACCAAGAAATGAGTTAAATACATAATACTAATAACTGACCCTTGAATGAGGCTTGCTTGTCATGTGCCAGATGCTAATCTAAGTGCTTCCCGTATTGCCTCTTTGGCCTCCCGGTGACTGTGTGAGGTGGTACAGCTGTGCTCACCCCATTGCTAAAACTGGGGGAAGGAGGCGGAGAGGAGCTGGGTTACTTGCTGGTTTGCCAGCAGGTAGTGGCAGTGTGATGAGAATCCCGGGAGTGTGACACCAGCCTCTGCTCCGAGCCACTCCGGCTTCCTCCTGGACAAACTGAACCCCTGGAGAAGGGGACAAAGACTGGAAAGTCATGGTATTGGCTGTAATGCCCAGTGTGCCGGAAGTCCCTCAGCCCCTGAGAACCTCGCTTTGTTCTTGACCAGTTGAGCTTAACTCTTCCGGTGGCTCCCACTGATATCCAGCGATTTTATATTTTTCTAACAATGGCACACAGATGTGACAGAGCCTGAAGCCTGTCCCTAATGGACTATGTAGTAGGCTTCAGTCAAATTATCAACATAGGAGAGGGATGCAAAGGAGAAAGGGCGACATCTCGTCACACTTCAGGACTCTGGGTGCGTAGATGAGAACCACAGTTTCGACTTTCCCAGCTTCACTACCACCACTCCCTTCTTCAGCACCTGCTTTGTGGTCGATGGTGCGAGATGTGGGAGTTTTGTCTTGAAACCCTAAGCTCTCAGAATTTAGTACAGTTTTCCATATTGGGAATTTTTATCCATTCTTAGTCCTAAGCAGGTGTCATGGTACACACCTCTAATCCCAGCACTGGAATGGATGAGGGAAGAGGATTGCTGCAAGTTCGAGACCAGCCTGGGCTACATAGTGCATTCAAGACCAGCCTGAACTACACAGTGAGACCCCATCACAAAAACAAACAAAAACTTCTTAGTCCCAGTGTATTGTGTGTGTGTGTGTGTGTGTGTGTGTGTGTGTGTGTTGCTAGAGAATGCATCCAAGCCTTATGCATGCTAGACAAGCTCTCTACCACTGAGCTACATCCCAGCATTTCCAAAATTGTCTGGTGAATAAACTAGAATGTCACATTTTAGTTTTGTCTTTATTAGATTCTACCATGTGTATTTTCTTCCATATATACAATGTACAACATAATTTAAAACAACAAAGGAAAGCCTCATAGATGACTTTTTCTCTTTCTCTTTTTTACCTAAGAGGTTACAACTGGATGCCAGCAAGAGCTAAGGCTTTTGTCACCAGGAATTCCCCAACTCGAACAAGAGGTGATAGCTGCCGTGCATAAAGCAAATGCGTATCAGTGGCTGGAGGAGTGGATAGTTGTCTTCAGCAATAATCGGGACGAGCCATTCTGCCAAGTTACTAATTTGTATAAGCAGTAAAATTTGCTTTCCTCACAGTTTCAGACACTTGGATTTGTGACAATGAACGCAAATGTTCATGATTTTAGGTATTCGTATAGATTTATGCTTACAGCTAACTTCCATGTTATTCTATCAAAATAGACGCATGCCTATGCATGCATGGCTACAACTTCTAGCACTGCTCTCCTGTTGGAGAAGGATGTTATAGATAAGCCCACTGAGAAGCCCACATGTCTGTAAGGGAATTGTTCCAGGAGACAAGACGGTTAAATCACTATGTGCGTGTGTAGTAAGAGTATTCTGAGATGAGCACTGATAAATTTTACCTTTGTAAGAGTAACACTGATGTCAGGGGCTGAGACCCGGCAAGGAATGATGAGCTCCTCCCCTTCCTCCATACGTATTACTTCCGGTACATCACTGTGCATCTCTACGAAAGGTCTCTCTCTATCTGGATGAGAAAAAATTAAAAACACATAAATGACTGAGATATGAACATGGAGGCTCTATAGCTGGTGAGGTCACTTGGGTATTACAACACCTTCCCCTTGAAGTACATTTGCAGTCTTTGTCTCTGAATTTGATCCTCTGTGTTTCTGCCTGGAAAAAGGAACTTCTTTAAGAAAACCTCATTTCTTGACCTTCCATGGGATTGCCCTGATGCGCTACTAGGCAGTCGACATTTGCAGTACCCCTGAGAGCAAAAGAAGAACATTCTGGTAAACTTCTTACCCGCAGTTATGCCGAGTGCTACGGGAAACACCGTTCAGAGCCTTTGTGACAACTCAAAGGCCACAGTTGCGGTGACCAAAGTCAACTCTATTTGGAGAGTTAGCACTGTTGTAGAAAAGCAGCAAGTTAGAGATAGCACTAGCATTCGGATGACAGAGCATGCTTTAACAGATTTTCTAGGCCTTTTCTGGTAGACTATTTTGAATAAGAATGTCTGGGCTGCTTAGGGGAAAGCCAAGAAGCAGGAGAAGCAGAGTTGACAATTTCATGTGCATATTGGGTCTGTTTCTTTAGTATGGACTGCTTATCTACCAAGAGCAAAAACCAAGTGTGCAGAAGTGCCTACAAAGAGGTCTGGAAAAGGCTTTCAGTAATCACCAGAATTTCACCTTTCAAAGTATGGCATTCGGCCTTTCTCCGAGGCAAGGAAGATTCAGACAGCCTGTTCTGCTTCCCTGAGGAACCAGAGTGAACACTGGAACCTTGTAGAAACATTCGCACTGGCTACCCTGGCCCTCGCCCTCTAGAATCCACTGACATCCTTCAGGAGCCATCTCTTCAGGAGTCATTGAGTCCTGGTCTACCCTGCTTCCCCTGGGCTCCAGCCTTACATGTCCTGAGTAAGTTCTGTGTGAACTCTGTCCATGTGGACCTGAAAGAACCAAGCAGGTCCCCTGCTGCTTGCTGACCCTCTCTCAGATCCGTAGGTTAGGAAGATCATTCTGGATGCTGAGTGGAAAAGAAATTGTAAAAATAAAAAATAAAAAAAAAGCAGCAGGCAATAGTTGCCTAGATGGTGGCTATACTATTAAAGGTTGAGTTGTGCCCATCTCCCCAAAATACCACCACTAAGAGCAAAACAGCTGAAGCCCAAACTTCCCTATACTTCCAATGCGGCCTGACTGGGAAATAGAGTTGTTGCTAAGTAGAGCGGGTCCTGATTTGCATATGTACAGGAAGAAAACCATATAAAGACAAAGGCCAAGTTGGTGTAACATTTACAAGTCAAGTAATACCAGAGAGTGCAGGGACCACCGGAAGACTGTAAGAGACACACATTCAAAGAGGCCTGGTCCTGAACACACCTTGACTTCAGACAGTAGCATAGGAAAAAGACTAGAAACAAATCCACTCAGATGTTAACAGTGATTCTCTCTGGGTGGTAGCTTGGTGGGCTAGTTCCTAATTCACCTGCTTTTTTTTTTTTTGAATTTTAAAGAAGAAAAAAGATAAACCATGAAACCAAGGTCCAGAACAGGTCACTAATTCACCTTCTCATAGTTGTCAGTTTTTCTAGAATGATCATGTGTCATTTTATAATAATTTTAATTAGTAAAGTTAAATCTCAAATTATAAAGCACCATTCCTTTTGACTTGAGAAAAACTATACGTTGCATTTGATTTACTTTAGTTTTATTCTCTATAATAAAGTATTAACTGTCCCAGTTAATAAAGTTTTATGTTTATTGGGAATTCTCAATAGATGCAGAACATATGCAAATGAGAAAAGTCAATTAAATGGAGACAAGGATTCCTTCTCAGCATTAAATTCCTCTTCTAAATAAAGTTGCTAAGCTAGACACTCCGCTAGAGGCTACTGGGATTTGATCATTCCTTTCCTTCCTCCCTGAGTATATATTTTTATCTATTTTGTCAACTCCAAGGTAAACACAAACACCACGAAATGGTTTAATGCATTTAGCCAAGCTATAAATCTTTTATGTTTAAGTTACCGTGTCCTTAAATAACTATTTTCAACAAAGGACACTTGCATAAAAGTCCCTACAGGAAATGGTGAACATCGGCGTTGTCATTTCTAGGCTACTGAAATGCCAGTTCCAAATGAAAATAGAAAAGGCTAATTTAATGCGCCTTGGAGTTTTTTCCACTTGTCTCTTTGGATCCCCAAATGCTTGAATTTACTACAGCTATTGGCCTCTAAAAGCCAATTCCACTTTCAGTACTGGGTCCACTACCGTTATGTTCAAAAATGTCAGAATTTCAATGATTTGTGTCCATTCCAATACAACTTAAAAGATACCATTTGTATGCCAGTCAACAGTGACATAAATCCACCGCATTTGCAAATGAACTTACTTGGAGGTACGTACACACGCGCACACGCTCACGCATGCGCACACACAGTGTTCCCTGAGCTTATTAATAGTATATTTCCTCTGCAATTCGCCTTAAGGAAGGACTGAGAATAAACTTGCCTGACATAATACAAACACATTTTGTTTTGTAGGTCCACAGATACAGAGGAGGTCACAGTTCCACGAATATCACCAGTAAACCACTTACTCCTCCCGTAGGATACATTTGTCTTTGTCACAAAATTAAAAATGACCCTTAAACGCAGCCAGCACTGCAGAGTGGTTTCCTGCAACCAAATTGGCTGCTTGTCCAAAAACAGGAATGCCTGGCAAGCGTGAGGTACTGAGTCCGATTCCCGGTACCAAAAAACAAAAAAAAAAAAAAAATACAAAGGAAGAGCTGCTCCAAAGGCTGCCGGGCCTGCAGCTCAGACGGCCGGCGGGGACTCGTGCCAGCACACGGCCTCGGCAAGGTCACACTGCCCTCACCTCCCTGAACTCTGGGAGCTCCGGGCAGCGTCGGAAAGCTGGCAGCGAATATGAGGTTTTCTCACCCAGTGGGAGCTTCTGGGTTTTCACCCGTCCTTCCGGGCAACAAGTGGGCTCAGACCCAGGGAAAGATCAAGCAGGACCCTTGCTCAGAACGGAATTACGTCTACTTTTAAAACGTGTTTTTTCCTTTTGAAATCGGTAATCATGCTGGCACAAAACAGGCTCTCGGACAGAGGCTCCAACATGCTCTTCTCGTGCTGCTCCATTCCAGCTGGGCGTCCCAGGTTCAGAGTAAGTGCCTGATCCCCAAATTTAGGGGGCTTTTAATTTTTTTTTTTTTTTAAACTGGAAAAGTGGGGCTGGGGATTTAGCTCAGTGGCAAAGCGCCTGCCTGGCAAGTGCAAGGTCATGAGTTCGATTCCCGGTACCAGAGAAAAACCAAAAAACCAAAAAAAAAAACAAAAAAAAAAAAACAAAAAAAAAAACTGGAAAAGGGTTCAAGAGTAAACATCGTGTTTTCTAACACAAGTTTGTTTTTATGATTTTTTTTTCTCGATAAACTTTTTCCTGATTTCGTTCTCCTTTATTGTCATTTTCTCAAGCCCTGGTCATGAGGACTCATATTTATTTATTCTTATTAGTGGATGTTTGTAGTACATCATGATTCTGTTCCTTATGGGGAGTTTGTTCATGTACGTAGCACTTCTCAGTTCTTCTTCATCCCGTTCCTCCCCTTATGGTCTGTGTCCAGATGTCCTGTGCAGTTTCAGATGGCCTTTTACAGAGGTGGCTGAATCTACAGTGTGTGATTGATTGCTGGGGCAATGCTGGGATTATGGGGGCTGGCATTAATGGTGGGCGATTGCTGGATCACTCCACCGATTGGATTGGTACCACCCTAATCCCAGCAGCCTGGATAGAGTATAAAAATGGCAGAAAGACACTGTCAAGGGTCAGTTGTTGCTTTTGCTGTCTTCTGTCACCATAAACGGTTGCCCCTCTGCCATGTGCTACTCTGCCTTGGAGCCAGCCAATTATGGACTGAAACCTCTATAAACTGTGAGCTAAATAAACATTTCCTCCCTTAGCTTTCAGTGTTGGGTATTTTGTCTCAGCAGTGAGAGAAAAGTAACTACGACATCTCGTTACCCCCACCTTTCAACTCTTTGTTCCTTTTCCTTTTGCAAAAGATTTAGCTCCCTATTTCTTGTTTTATTTTGCTCTTTCCTTATATTTTGGATTTCTCTAGAGAGAAACCATGCAATGTTTAAGCTCATGTGTCTGATTTATTTCATTTAACATTATGGTTTCAAGGTACATCCATATTCTTACAAATGACTCAAGTTTATCCTTCTTTATGGCAGAGTAGTACTCCACTGTGTGTAAATACATTTACTTCATCCATCCATCTGTTGACAGATATATAGGCCACTTTCAAGAGTTAGCTATTATGAATTATGCTGCTATAAATATGGGTATGCATTTATCACTGTTAGGACAGTACCTACAAGTGGAATAGCTAGATCACATGGAATTTCTAGTTTTAATTTTTGGAGGAACCTCCATATAGATTTCTATAATGGTTATACCAGTTTATATGATGATCAACAATTTAGAATGGTTCAAATCAGCAACAATTTCTCATCATTGACAACTTCAAATCATCACATCTAAATCTAAAGCAAGGAAAAAGGAGAAAATAATAAACATTAGAGTGGAAACTAATGAAAGAGAATAGAAAAACAGCAGAGAAAAGCAGTAAACCAAAAGCTAATTTTCTGCAACGATGAACACCACTGACAAGCCAGACAAGCCAAGAGATTAAGAGAAGATTCATATTACTAGACTCAAAAGTGAAACAACAGACATTACTAAAGTCAAAAGTGTTACACAAGATTATAGTAGTATGTCAATAACTTAGACAACAGATGAAACAGACACATTCCTGAAAAGACACAGGCTACCTGAGTGAACTCAAGAAGAAACAGATGTCCCAGACAGACCTAAAACAAGAGATTGAATTAGTAATTTAAAAAAAATACCCACAAGGAAAAGCCAACCCCTAGACAGCAAGTGAATTCTACCAAACTTAAAGCGCTAATACCAACTCTTCATAAAGTTTCCCAAAAAG